CGGAGGAGAAAGCAGCATGATACAGTACTAGCAAGTTATTGCATAAAACTATCGTTCCCGCTGGTGAATCTTAAGTAAAAAATAGTCGAATTTCATTGGTTCTTGATTTTCATATTGCTGTACCTAATGTAATCGACCAATAGTATCAACAGCAAGCTTTACTAAAGATACCGACACCCTCAAACAAATCTTCCTGGGACAATTTCTTCAAATTGCGGCTGCTTCCCTTTAGAATAGTTGTACCGTAACATATCTCTTGCACTTGAAGCGCTAGTGGCACTAGAACTAGAAATGTAACCAGCCAAGGCCATATCGTTGATCACAGTCGAGCTGCCAATTTTTCATATTAGTTAACATTTTATCATCCGTCACGGCAATGCTTACACCCAAAAGCGACAACCAACACCACTATGAGCCAGCTGATATCTCTCACGACGGTTTTGGGTGATGAGTTGCGTGACGTGACCGGCTGTCAGGCCTTGGATAGGCGTGATATCAATGTTCGCGACAGAGGTATTTGAATGTGTATAAGCACAAAAGCTTGTTGTGTACGTTCCCATAGTATCAGCTGGCCCAGCTTTAGTCATGTTCAGGCGTATCGAGGTTTGATCGCTGGTGATGAGGAAGATGCTAGTGTGGTTTCCGCTTCGAGTATCCGCTTCAAAGAACTTTCCCGTAGTGTGCATCGTGATCCGGATCAGGATGACATGTTGAGCAAGTTGAGCAAGAGTAGGTGGAGTCGGCATTGTGTATTTTTTACAGAAGGTGAGATGCACACGAGAAAAATAGAATTGATCAGAGTACGTAAATCAGACTTAAGAGCGAATTCTTCTGAGGTTGGATTGACCATTATTTTGTCCGACCATGATGGTGCTTAAATATTAAGGAAAGGAAATGTAAACGCACTAATAGTACAGTATCATGAGCAATAACAAAGGGTGTATAATTATAGCATTCAATGAAAATTGAAAGCGCTTAGAAGAATGAATGAGAGCCACTCCTCCGTGATTGCTATAAGTGACGTGACACATTTCATGAAACAGTAAGTAAGAATTTTGATATATATATAGCATCCATCGAAGATTGCAAGCGCTTAAAATAAATTGGGTGTAGCCAATCCCTGTGGGTATCAGTGCTGTTACAATATTCGCTGACTAAGCTTAAAGCTAGCCGCTCCACGCCTCGATCAGACATATGGTGATCTCGCTATCTCAACATTATTTACAAAACTTAACTTCTACCCGGTGCTTGTATATATGATGGATTTGCATGTTACAACAGCGAGCAGTGAGGAGTTGATTCATTTCTGCATTCAGAGAGGAAAGGAAGGTGCCGTATTTGCCGACATTATAGGCGCAATAGTGGTCAAAGTCTCTCCTACCATCGTTGTCAAATGGGGATATAGTGTGACCGCCACTGAAGCAGCAATGCAAGAATTCGCTTACAATAATGTGAATCATAACATCGTTCGAGTGCCTCGGGTTTATCGCTTCGTCCAGGATGAATTAGGAAGAGGTTTTCTATTTATGGACTACGTCCCTGGCCAGAAATTATTGGATTTGGACCTCACAGTTCACACAGATATCATCCCCCGCATCACTAATATCATTACTCACCTCGGACAAATAAAACATGGACAAAAGCCAGGTCCAATCGGCGAAAAAGGTCCACAGGGGTATCTCTGGGGCGACGATGGCGTGGATAAGCCTTTTGTGTCTATTGCCCATTTGAATCGTTATCTCAACAGGCGTCTGACATTGAGAAATGACTCTATTGATCTAAGTCCATATCCGCTCGTCCTCTGTCATATGGACCTGGTTCGTCGCAATATGATACTTGGAGAAGATAGAAAATCTATTTATCTTCTTGATTGGGCCCATGCTGGGTTTTATCCACGGTTCTACGAACTTGCGGCGCTTCCGTGCATGAGTCCTTATGATGAGCCCTATGAGAAGCCACTTATAGCAGCCGTGGAATCAATGATGCAGTTGACAGATGATGAAAAACGCGATATGAAATTGATCCATTATGCCCGGGCAGCAACTTTGAGATGGCAATTGTAGGCGAAGCCTTTCTTCTCCTCTATTACTTATCTTTCAATCGAAGCTAATACGGTGCGGATATAGTCCTGAGGAGCCTGAGGAAGCGTGACGCGTTCTCCTGTTCAAGCAGCAGTTAAGCCGTTCGGATGTGAAATCATTCCCTATTATATATGGATTGTGGTGCATGGCTAGCTTGTTCGCACAATCTGGCTATTAGTGACAGAAGACATGTAACACTCGATGAATAACTTGTCTGACATGTTCAAGAGGGCTCTTATTTTCAGGGTAATTTTAAGTCTTATACATTAGTGCCTGAGTGTGTCTCCCTCTCTGACGCAGCTCGCTTAAAAGTTATAAAGTCCCTTCAAGATCGTAATTCAGACCTCATACGTGACAATTCCCGGTTAAAGAAATCAGGTCGCTTATTTGGGCTTTTAACCCAGATGCTAGCCACTCGCTTCCGTTTTTGATTGGCAGCAATAGTTCCCAATGGTATCCGCTTATGATATTGGGCGCGCTCAAAATCAATGAACATCACCCGTCGGTTCTCCTCATTCCATATCATGTTCCCCGGGATTGGATCGCCGTGGAGAACACCAAGGTTGTGAATGGCACGCAAAGACGTCTCAGCCTTTGCAATGAGCTGCGCCTCATCGATTTCGTGTTGTCTGGCAAGGTTTCTCCCAGCACAGCTCATCAGAGTCAAGTGAACCATCATGGCGATACCATCGTATGAAAACGGTCGGCGAAGATTGAGACCGCCCAAGACGACTGGGACGTACTGCCCTTGAATCGCACTGAGATGGGAGTACATCATCTCCTCCCGCTTGGCACACTCGATGAAGTCGATCGGAACACCTTTCCCAACAAAGGTATACCCATATGACCAGAGAGTGACCTTGAAAAGAGCCCCGCGTGTACCATGTATGTGAAGTGATTCGCATCCGAGCTCTTTATTAGGGTCTGGGTCCTCAGAGAGCTGTCGATCCAACAATTTGATAAGCATCGTGGTATTAAGTTGATGTCGATCGGTTCCGTGCTCGCTCGCGTTGGGACATTTCCTATCCAGTCGTCCCTTGCAGCGCAAGCCGCGAAGGCACTGTTGAGTACAGTACTTTCGAGACTTGCCTTTCGAAGTCGATTGTTGTGATCTGGTCGATATTCGGGTTGTGGCGGCTGTGGCTTGACGCTGAGAGTCACGAGGCGCTCGACTGGGAGTGGATGGATCCAAGCTATCATCGGCATCGTCTTCGTGATCTGATAATCGCGACTCTTGTGTTGGCTCACAGGATATGGCCATCACTGACTTCGACCTGGTCTTCACGGGGGATTGGCGGTAATAATTCGTTTGGCTGGGCGATGGCTTGTACTCAGAAGCTGGAATGTCCTTCTCCTCAATCTCCTCCAGTAAGTCGTCATACACCATCACCCATGTCTCCAACTGGCGTGTAGCCCAGTTTCTCCAAGCCATATCCCGTGGAGAAGTTCGCAGAGCGCGCAAGGTGAAAGCTAAGAGCTGGCCGACTGCGGTTAGATGTAGCCGATTGCCACCTTTGGGCCAATCAGTAATGTTGTTAACATCTTCTCTCGGCACCGATAGATAGTATAGGACGGTCGATGGTCTATCATGAGGCATGCGAAGGAATATGAATGCTTCGCCCGTGGCCACGCAACTGTACTCATTTCCGCCTTCGTACATGTAGTGGGAGAGTTGTGTAATTACTGCAGCGACAACACGACGGCAGGTATCCTCCAGAGATTCATCTTTTTGATATCGAACGATGCGGTCCAGTTCCATGTCCTGCAGTCCGGCTTTGATGTGAGCGAGAGACAGCTTATATGGGGCTTTGTATTCGATGAGAAAGGACGGAATGTTCTCGTCTGGGCCCCGATTGTAAACGCAAAACTGGTCTGCTCGAGGACGAGGTCGGCGTGGCTGTGCGGCTCTTTGCCTTCTCGCCCGTGATGTTGACCTAGAGGGGTCCCGAGATCGTCTTGCGAGGCGCTCGGAGCGACGAGGTCCTTCCTGCTTCAAACGGAGAGAGCTCATGTTGGTGACGATTCTGGATTCATCGGTCAGTGTGTTGGCATGGTTTTCGAAAGTCACGTTTCCACGAAGGTTGAAATTTTGCCGCAGTTGCCGGCTGGTATAGAGCTCTTCGATCGTGGACGCAACACGCGACTCCATGGTCTCGCGTTGAAAATATCCGATATCGAGTTCGGAACCGTGCATTCGTTTCATTATTTTCTTTCCGGATTCCTTCAGCGCTAGCAACGGTGTAAAATGATGTTCGGTCATAAAATCTGCATCCATGAGGTCCGCCTATATTGCCATCTGCTGGTCTGGAAAGTCTGTTCATTTCTGGATTCTGCTTGGTCGCAGCTTGCGGTCTGCATTGGCAGGATCACCCTTTGTTGATGACTTCTTGTCTTTCTGAATAGTGAGACCGAGGAAGAGATGTTTGTGGCACGCATTAAGAAATTCGGGGAGTGTTGTATTTCGAGTTTGCAGTATTTTGAGGTTTAAGTTCCGTTCCGCTTTTTCTCGCCGTTGTTGTTCTTTCTCTTGTCGTCGTTCCGCTTTTTCTCGTCGTCGTTGTTCTTCCTCTTGCCGTTGTTGTTCTTCCTCTTGTCGTCGTTCCGCTTCTTCTCGTCGTCGTTGTTCTTCCTCTTGTCGTCGTTCTGCTTCTTCAAGACGCTTACGTAGCTCATTTAGCTCTTTCTGCGACATTTCGACCTGTTTTTGATGTTCTTGCAACCAGACATGGGAATTTGTTTTGATTGTTTTGATCAGGCGGGCGCTAACACCGGATACAGTATAGCGTTAAAGTTACATGACGAGTGTAGCGGATGGGCGAGGACGAATGAGGACGAATGGGAGCAAAATGGGAGCAATCGGGGACGATTCGGAAGGAGCTCCTCGTAAATTGTAGATGTGGCGCTACACACCTCAACATCTTTACGGGCTTTTTTAATTTCCAGATATCAGTTTTTACGAATGGATGATCACTATTTATATGAAATAAAAGGGAGTGATAACTAACTAAGGGTTACGTACTAAGGGTTAGTATTTGCTTGGCCACAATCTATAAGCGACTCCACAGCACGGCCTTTACATTGGTAAATCAGTCATCTTTAAGCCACGAGTTTTCCCTCTCTAACTGTAACATGGACGTGGCTTCCTTTCCTTCTTTTTGTTTGGTCACCCATTCCTGAACACGATCCACAGCATCTGCAGGCGAGTGTTTATGCTCCAAAAGGAATGATAGAATCTTGGCTGGACTAAACTCTTCCTCTGGGACACGAGCGGCAAACTCTTCAGCTAGTCTTTCGATTGCCAAATCGTCGGTTTCTTTTGTTGGTTGCTCATATCCAGTAGGCGTCTGTTTAAAGATGGTACAGAAAAGTTGAGTAACGATCTTCTTGTCAGCGCGTTTGAACAAAATTGTTTTGTCCACACAACCCGGGCGAATAAGGGCTTCATCTAGATGGTCGATGTAATTTATTAACATGATGAGTATGCGACCTTTCTGTGACCTAACGCTATCAATGACATTCAAGAGTCCGGATAGTGATATTCCACGTTAAAACGAATCTTTCTAGATTTACTCTATACTGGTATTTTTATGGTCTAAGTCAATTGCATCCACATCCTCCAAGAGGACGATATAACATGAAAGAAACTAAGTAAAAAGTTTATCTAGTCCAGCATCACTTAAGCTAGACAAATTAAAAATATATATATCCAACTCATATAAGCCAGCAATGGAAAGATAGAAGCTAGATTTCCTCATCCCAGAAGAGCTATCTAAAAGATACTCTCATTTATACAGAATCCCTCGGGCTATATATCATTTTTAAGTCTGTTTATCGAGAAATTGTTTCATATCTTTTAAGATGTCTTTTTTCACTACCTTATCTATAATAACAGTAGAAATGTTTTTTATATGTTTTAAGCCAATACACTTCCACTCATTCCTTTCTAGTTAAAACACTAGCACTTTCTACTAAATAAATTTAAAATATTGTTTATAATACTCTTTCATTAAATCTATTAAAATTCTTAAAGACATATTAATATATAAAATAGAAATCTCTTTATAATATTCTTTTTTATAACAGTAAAGCATAAGCCAGTGATTTCTATATTAAAAATAGAAAGATCTATCCTAAGGAAAGTATGATAGAGGCTTCTTTCTTAATGATTGATTCTGAATGATATCTTGAGTCTTAATATAGACTATTAGAGAAGCTGCTTCTTTTATAAATGGTTATTGATATATCCAAGCAATAACCATTTTATATGCCTCGTCATAATAATATATATAGATAATTAAAGCTATTATCTATTAATAGATTTTATATCTTCTCTTTTTTATTAGATTGAATGAACTAAAGTATTTGTTAATTAGATCATTAGTATAACTATATATATAATAAGTAAATATTACGAATATAGCTCCCATATAGAGTAATCAAACATAGCTATCTATGTTACTAAGAAGGAGCTACTAAACAGAGACATTTACAGCACTGAAGCTAGAGAAGAAAATATTCATAATAGATATTAAAAACACCTATAAATGTATAGATAAGTATTCAACTCCGCTAAATACATTCATTATAACAAAAAATCTTATAATAATAATTAAATAATTCAATAACAGAGAGAGTCTTAAAAAAAATTATAAGAATGATAAAAAAAGAACTATAAAAAATATACCATCTTTTATATCTATAACTATATATTTTTACTTATACATTATTTTAACAAAATTTAAGATGCATTGCAGCTTATACTATAATTCTTTCTAATGATAAACACCGCAGTCTTATTGTTAATTAAAGAAATTATAATAGGTCTCTTTGATTAACTATCTAGATATAATTTCTATAATATTGATGCTAGTAGTAGCTAGTATTATAAATAATTTTTATGAATTATTAGCTATAATCTGAATTAGCTTGTATAATATGCATCTAGTAAGGAGAAGCTAACAGTTTATTATATTATTTAGAATACTGCAACACAAATATCTAATTTTCTTACTATACAATCTAATACATGTTAAATGACTCGAGCTATAAGCATAAAATATGAAGCTAGAAATTTAGTTTATCTTTAATATTTATATAAAATATGACCAATTCTAAAACTTAATACATTTCTCTTTTCATTCTAATTGCTTAACTCTACTATTCTTGATAAAATACAGGGCTTGAGTGCCAAGCTGAGAATCTTATTAATGTAATCTATTTAGCTAATTTCAATTCTCCTTTTAATGCTAAGAAATTAAGAATTCTGTTTTCCTAAACTATTTAAATGATTATAGTGATCCTTCTTTGCAAATAAACTAAGAATTCTATTACTATCCTAAAATTCAAATCTATCCATTTTTAAATATATAAATAATATCAATAGATAAATAATTAATACAATATCTTAATTAAATTAGTAAATATCTCTAAAATATCAATCTAGATAACTCTACCTTTAAAAAATTAAAAAAGAAATATTTATTACTTTCAGCTTAATTAGCTATTTATTATATACTATAAAGAACTGTATCACATATAGCTGAATATAGCCAATCCTTACTGATCCTTTATATTTAGAATCAGATATATAAGTTTTTTGATTCACTATATAGCAATGATAAAAATAAGAAATCATCATTTAAATTAAGATAATAGAAATTATAAAACTTGGATTACTATATATTTTTGATTATTATAATCTCATACACTCTATTAAAAATTATAAAAATGAGCTATATAGAATTTAACTACTTAATATAAAGTGCTCCAAAGTATTCAAATATAAAGTTGTTTCTTTCTAAATAGATTTTTTACAAAAAGATTTAGCTTATTCTTACAAAAAAATCTGATTTTATAAACCTAAAAATATTTAAAAAATATAAATTACTTTTATCATTTTTTAGTCTATTAGAGATTAACCAGAGATAAGATACTATAATCTTGAATTTAAAAATGGAAATTTATATTCAGAAAAACATGCTCGCCTTAGAATACATAATGTAGTATAATAAAATTCTATATATTAAATATCAGACTGTTCTTTAAATAGAGTCAAAAAAATAAATTCATTATTAATCCATAAAAATGCTGAAAATAGAGACCATTTCCCCACTACAATCTTAATACAACTAGATACTTATTTATTAACTAAACAATCTAAATCTATATATCAATAAAATAATACTAATAGATATAAACCAAATTCTTTAATAAAAGATATATACAAGCTTATACAAAAAAAAGTTGGATATATCCTTCAGTTTAGCCAAATCATTAAAATCATTTAGCTAACTGATATATATAGCACAAACACAATATCATTTATTATTATCTATATCTCTAATAAATTAACTAATCAATTAATCATCAACTGATCAAGAATCATATAAATAAGCCAGTTATTTATCCACCTTGGCTTTCCTTTATATACCTAATATTAATAGTGCCTAATACCCTTAAATGCCAGCTTGCCTACCATAGAAAAATGATATAATATTCTGCTTCCTCTATACTAATACTATTAATGTATTCGCCAGTATCTTTTTTAAATATCTAAACAACATCTTGATTATGAATCACATCAACAACTATATTAACTATATTAGAGAAAGATGTTATTTATTAATCTTTTAAAAAATTATTATTCTAAACCAGCTTACATTTATTGTAATTAATCTACTACTATATTTAGTCTTAATTACATCTATAAGATGTTTATAGAATGACCAAACCTTTTTTTTACATTCTTTAATTAAATCTTTATCTATTAAGCTTTCTATCCTTATTTTTTTAATATCTTTTACCATATTTATCTAGTATATTCCTTTATTTTAAAGCTATTCAGCTTAGAACTTCTATTTTTATTTCGATGTTGAGTTATTAGATAATATTATTATCAATATTGATTCTTTAATATCAAATATGCTGTATAATATAACAATAAAATAATATATTGATGATAATTTGCATATAGATAACAAAGATACTTTTATTTAGAGATATAATCTAAGTTAGATAATCAAATAGCAGGGTTATTAAACTTTTAAGATTTATTATATTACAAGATCATTAAAGATATTTATCTAAGTTTACAGAAAACTGACATTTTTAGAGTCACTAAGTTTAAGAATAAAAGATGATATAGAAGAGATTGATATATTTATCTCCTACTATAGCTTAAAAATATAAGATCAGATAGTAATACATTAAAATCCCTCTTTAGCTAAATTTATTTAAAAGTTTTATTTCTGTATATAACTATATAGTAATTTTATAAGAAAGTCATTCCTCAAATTAACTTAGGCAGCCATTTAGAAATATTCATTATAAGAAGAGTAGTCAAAAATAAGAAAATTACTTTACTCTGATAAAAAATAATATTCTATATATCAAAGAGCTTTATTATATAGTTCATATTTCTTATATATATAGCTAGTGTTTTCTTTTTCTATTCTATATTTTATATACTGCTATTAGCATTAGATAATCATTGTTCTATTATAGGGCAACAACATTAGTATAGATTAGGCTGTCATTTGGTTCGGTTCGGACCGAACCAAAACCGATCTGAAACCCGAATGGTCCGGTTCTGGTCTTATATACAGTGAACTGATATGGTTTAATTCACCAAGTCCAGGACCATATAGTTTTTTGAGACCCATTTAGGTCTAATTCGGTTTAGATTTTCAATTCAATTTTATCTGAATATCTGAATACTAATAGATTACCATTAATAATACTAATAATTTAGAGTTAACTCTAATTCTTTATAGTTTTTATTGATTAGATAATTATTTCCAAAGCAGCTTTTCATAAATTAAATTCTTATTTTTTTAAATTAGGACTTTATTTTAAATATTTTTATAAATATTATAATAAATTCTTAATATTTAAATTATAATTTAGGAATTATCTGGATAGTAATAATACCTTTTCTACTTTTTATTTATATTTTTCAGATTATATTGTACAGCTGATCTATCTATTAGAGAAAATATATATATATTTTTATACCTATTCTATGATATTTACTATTATCTATCTATTTTTTAGTTTATCTTAATAATTAGATAGATAATTATAATTTAAATAACTAATTTTAATTTTTATATTATTTATCTATCTAATTCATTAAAATTTAGAGAGATTTTAATATATTTTTAAGAATAAAATCTAACTATAATTAAAAATTCTTTTATACAGTTCAGTTATCTAAATGAAAACTAGATTAGACTTAGACTGATCTAACTATAATTAGTAATTCTTCTTTAATATGATTTGGTTTCGATTTAAAGAGCTAGAACCGTTTAATTTTCAGTTCTAGTTCTAATAATAAGGACCAAACCGAACCAACCCACTTTTGGGTTTGGTCTAGAAACTCAGGACCAGAACCGAACCAAATGACAGCCTAGTATAGATGGCCACTAACTAGAAATAGTAAGAAAATTTATAGTAAAAATTTCACTATTCATAT